ACTGCTCATTAAGAATCATACAAGCACTTTAGGTTTACATACAACTAACTAGTTAGTAAACTAAGAAATTAAATCTTCCTAAAACTAATCCTATAATTGAGGGATTGTCTATCCTAATTTTCTATCCTTAATTCTAGGGATACAAATACTTAATTCTAGAGATACAAATATAAATATACAGATTACAATATTTACAACCAGCTGTAAATAAATATTTTCCCACATGCATAACAGTTGTTCTGCCTGCTCCCTCCCTAGTATATATCTTCAAACCATTAAAGTGAAACTACGTAGTTTTTTCTCGATATAATCAGTGTCATAGTGAAACAAGTTTTTTCCTAGACATGCTTATCCAAACCAAACTAAATAAATATGAGGCAAAATGATGGCAGTGCCAATATTTCTCTTATAGTCTGTCTGCTTTATAGTGTAACAAGTCTTTTCCCATCATGCTTTAATAACCAGAAAATTTGCTGATTCACTCATCTTTTTGGTAACAATACCTTCATGATTTCAGGCTGTCTTTACTATTTCCTGATCCTTTTATGGTTGTGCAGGCACTATTAGAATATGAAAAGTATAAGAGGCAGAACGGTGAGATTCAAATTCCTGCTTCTTTGCTCCCTCATACAAGTGGTGAAAAGGAGGTAGGGTTTTGTTTTTTCATATTTTACAACAGTGATGATATCTTGCGAATTTTCATCATCCATTGAATACGCTGATGTGAACTATGCTGAATTCCATACAAGTAAACTAGTGATCATTTGAATGCTTAAACTAATCATTTGTTTCCTGTCACTATTTTTGCTAAAGAGTTCTCTTTCTAATGTTTTATGAGTTTCCTCTGCAGTCAAGTGGCTACCTAGCCTCAGGGTCAGGTAGGGCACACAGGGATGCTGCTGCTTGTACCATGCAAGGTTGGCATGCTCAACGTTCTGTTGGATATGGTGAGATCACCAAGCCTATTATTAAGGTCTGTTGAATATCTCAACCTTGCTATCATCTGTAATTTTCTATAGTTTCTTTGTGGTATTCCTGTGATACAAGAATTAGTTTTATTTAAAAAGAGCTCCTCTGTACAGGATAAGAGCTTGAGTTCTACTACAAGTGTGAAAAACATCCTAAAAACATTGGTATGTTGCTACTTGTAAAGATTTTTCTCACTACCATGTGCCTGTGCTGCCATGAGTTCTCATATTGTTTTTGGTGTCTTTTCCAGGTTTGCAGAAGCAGAAGACACCAATAAGCATGGAGCTTGCTGACAAATCTGCACATGAACCAGATAAGCGGTTAATATTTGCTGATCAGTTAGTTGTACATTAATTTCTTGGGGGGGCTTTTTTTAATCTAGCTTTATTTACATTCTACATAATCTGAACTTTAAATTGAAGATCCAGACAAGCATTTGATGAATTAAGTTATGAATGATTCTCTCATTGGAAAAAGAAATGTATGAATAATTTGCTACTACATAATTGAATTAGTTCTAAGAACCATATTCTTGATATATTCTTGTTGCACTCTTTGCTACTAGGAACACCTTACATGAAAAAATGAGTCAGTGCAAAGATTATCCAGAGAAGCATTCCCATAATTTAAATGGCCAAAGTAACTTTAAGCTTATAAATCTTTTTCTTCTGAAGCTGTTGAAGGTTCAAGGAACCTTTCTGAATGGGAACATTTAATTATTTACTGATGTTTCATATCCTTGCCCTAGTCAACATTTGCCCAATCCCATCATTGTTCTGGGAGGATAATTATCCTTAATGCCTCTATCAAAAGAGGGAAAGAGGAGGGATGTGGGCCCTAAGAAAAAGTTAAGAAGTCTTAAACATGCTCAAACGAACCTGATTGTTGTTTTCTTCTATTTTCTGACCGATGCAAATTTTCATGCTGTAGACTGGTCACTGAAATTGTTGATGTTGGATCCCCTGCTGATTGGGTGAAGATCAATGTGCGTGAAACTGTAAGTATCCCTTGTTTCCCATTCAGTGCATGCACTGAGAAAAATCTATGATAAAACTGGTTTTTGAATATGACCAGTTTCTGAGTAACTTGTGTTAGGATTTTTAGTTCTCAGTAGTTTCATTGTCCTTAAATTACACAGAAGGATTGCTTTGAGGTATATGCTCTGGTCCCTAGGCTCTTGCGTGAGGAGGTATGCAGTTGTCCTGAAATCCTTTCTAAAGACCTGATAGAAATTAGTAAACAATTGGTATGATCCTTGACAGTTGGTATTGCAACCTATAGTCTTTCTCCTAAGTATTTGCTGTTGTCTCTGTTGTTTTTGTAATCTACTGGTGCCGATGTCAACAAAAGGTCTACTAAGTTGCCTTTTTAGTTCCAAAGCTTTGTTAGACTTGGTTGAAGGATATCTCAAGATATTTTGGATTTCCATTTTCACTTTCCTGCTTTCAAATACAAGGAAAGTTTTTGGTCCTTAGAATGTACTAGTGATTAGAAAATATGTTACGTTTGTCAATGCATTTTGCTTTAGTCTGTACAAAATGTGACACCCCCCACCCCATGGGTGGATTTAAAACTGGACTTGCTTTATGGTGGATCTAGGTGCGAGTTCAATCTGATCCTGCCAGACGTTTAGTTATAACGGGTGAACCAGAGCAAGTTGACAATCCTTGGGGTATCACGCCCTTTAAGAAGGTATTTCTTTGAATTCCTAATCCGAGCAAATAAAAAAAGTTATATCTAGATGCTTGAGAACATAGTGAGAATATAAAAAATAGGAGGCATGTATCTTTGTTGGGCATTGTTGTTCTTAATTTTCTTGAGTTTCTTTCAAGCAATAACTAGTTTATAATCGTAATGTAGATGAAAAAGTTAGGATTTAGTACTACTTCAATGGCCACCTCTGTGTTGGTCACGGAAACCAAAAGTAGTAGTACCAGTACAATAGGGAAGAGAGCAAAAGATTTGTTTACCTTATTTGGTGTGGTTTAAAGGTTGTGAGCTTACCTGCAAGAATTGATCCGCTTCAAACATCAGCTGTTGTTAGCTGCATGGTCGACTCTTTGTAATTGTCCCTTTGGAGCAGGGATCAGTTTGAATGTTGTCTTATTTTAGATTAGTTGGCGCAAATCAAAGTTAGTGTAGGGACTGACTAAAGATCATTTCGGAGAAATGTAATTAGAAGTGAGTTAGTTGCATTTTTCCATCCTGGCTTATTGTTGGTCCAATTTGAACTGTGTGAAGGAAAAGTTTAATTTTATGTGCATTTTTAAAAATCTCATCGAATCGTCAAGGTGAGTGTGAGATTTGGTAAATTGTAGATTCAAAACCTTGCCAATAATTTTATGGACTCTGGCTTGATTTATTAGATTGAAGTCTTTTATAATATATATATATATATATATGAGTGAGTGAGTGAGTGAGTGGGCTTTTCCTGATTCGATTTTATTACACACACAGGGTGTCAGTCAGGTATCGAATAGGTTAGGTCTCTCGTTATGTTTAGTGTGAGCTCTTTGCTGGTCATTCCTGGTCCTCCCTTCCCTCTTAAATTATTCAAAGAAACAACCTATCAAGACAGTCGGATATCTGGTTTAGGCTCCAGATGGTTTAAAGGCTTGAAGATGTTTTCGGTCGACAGGAAAGCTTTGCCTTGAGAAAGAAACGTTGTCAAGGAGACAGAAACATTCCTTTGTATCCATCCAAGTGGCTCTAATCTAAATTGCCCTGTCGTCAGTGTGCGCAATCCGTGGAATGGAATGGAACACCAAAAAAAAGCCACAACAGAAAGAAACCAAGGTGGCTGTGGTCCCTGAATTAACACTGCTGCAGCCCCAAAAACAGGTGTAAGTGGACCCTTTCAGTAGACCCAAACCCTAGCCGCTGGTTTCGGACATGACTCAATTGCATTCGCATGGCCCACCAATTCACCCAAGAAAGCAAGGGCAATCAGACTCTACTACACTCAACCTCACGGCGGCTCCAAACGTGTGTCATTTACTTGAATCGGGGTTTGTTTGACTAATCCTGTTTCCAAGCAATCTGTATTGGCAGGTGTTAGAGGTGATGATAGGGCAGAGTGTTTGGGATCATTATTATTTCTTATATAATATTAAATAAGGTTATTTGCAGATACCTACGGTTTCAATGAAAGAAAAACAATGATGCATGTCGCAACCAGGATCATCCATTTGTGAGGGTCCCTTGCTTTCTTGACTTTACGTGGACAGTTCCTCCAGCATTATCCAATTCCCAACTCTGTAAATTACAAAGATGATACTACTGTTTAGGAACCAGATAATCCGACCACTATTTTATGAAGGGTTGGTAGATTATTATTATTATTAATTATTATGCTATCATTTAACATTGAAAAGAAAAAAAGGCCTAAGAAAACCATGATCGAGGATGTCATAGTAGCAATCATTTTGCTAATGAGTTCCAGTGAGATGGTGTAATGAATTTTGAAATTAAATTTGCTTTGCTTTTGGTACTTAAACGAGATTTTCCTTAAAAAACAATATGGAAGGCACACATAGACAGGCGAAAATGTGGTGTTTCTTGGTGGGATAAAGAAATAAAAAAAAAAATCCTTTCTTTTGCAAATGTAAGTTGTAAGTTGGTGATGGTAAGGGAATAAAAACCATCCGAGTAAAAAAAGGAAAAACAGGGAAAGTGATGAGAAGGGGATTAGTATAGGGGAGAAAGCAGCAGCCAAGCACTAGCAGTTAGGAGCTTATCGGTAATGGTGTGGGCAATAGTTAGTTTAAGTACGTGTGAAGAAGTAATTCGTGAAGTTAAAAACAAAAAAGAAATAAATAATAATAATAATAATAATAATAATGATAATAATAATATTATTATTATTGTAATAGGGTTTGATTAAGAGAAGATTGGTGGAGAAGAACAGATACCAGATAGAGATTAGAGAGAGTAGCCATAGACCATAGGGGTGGTAGGTCCCACGTTGGCAACCCAAGCTGTCTGTCTTGCTTTGTTTGAGAGCTCTCCAAGGCAAAAGGGTCTCTCATTTCTTTTCTTTCTCTTTTTCCTTTTCTTGCTCTGTTTGGCTGCAAATCATGATGATCCCTCTTCTCATTCCCCTCATACCCCTTCATCTCTTTACAATAAAAACAACTTCAATTAATAAAGTTAATTTCTTATTTGCCTTACCTTAACACTCTTTTTTTTTTTTTTTTGTCTTTGATTTGATTTTTCACTCTGTTCGATATCAATCCTCATGCTTCTGCTAAGTGCTACAGTTTCATCCTCTGTTACTGCTTTTGGCTGTTTTTTGTATAGATAATAATAATAATTAGTAGTAGTAGTAGATTGTTTGCTTTTCATGAATCGTCAATCCTTTCCTTTTCTTTTTCATCTTCCTGTCAGTCTCTGTGTATAGAGCCCAAAGCAAAGCCCACTAGTGCATATACCTTTCCATCCAATTCCACCACCACCGACTTCAACCTCTTCTTGGCCCATCTAGGGTTTCTCTTTTCTCCCCTCTCCTTTGTTTCTTTCATTTTTTATTTTCATTTTTATTTTTATTTTATTATGGTATGATTCTTGGGATTATTATGTCCGCTTTCCCATCTTTTGCTTTCCTGTTAAAAAAATAACCCAACCTCCACCCCTGTTGATTGCTTCCCTTAAATCCCAAATTGATTCTGGGTATATTTCCTTGCCTCCAATTCTAGGGTTTTTCTAGGGTTTTATCATTAAAAACTAAACCTTTTTATTCTGGGGGTCAAACCTCATTATCACTTGATTTCATTTGTCCCTAAATTTATTCATCACCTTTTCTTTTTTGCCCTTAAACAATCTTGCACCCTTTCGTTCTTTTACCCCTTAATATCGCTGGATTTGAATCGGGTCATCTTTGGTCATGGCGTATCAGCCGATTCCAGGTCCGAGCTCGGGGTCGAGTTCGAGTTCTGGTTTTCAATACATGAATTCCCCTTTTGGAGATACAACATACACCAAGGTCTTTGTTGGGGGACTCGCTTGGGAAACGCAAAGTGAAACCATGCGCCGCTATTTCGAGCAGTTTGGTGAAATTCTGGAGGCCGTTGTCATCACTGATAAGAACACCGGCCGTTCCAAAGGATATGGTTTTGTGAGTGTTAAATTTTTTTTTTCTTTTCTAAGGTCTCTTTATCTTTTCTGCTGCTTGATGATGCTATGCTACTTTGCATTTGGCCATCATTGTTATTCTTATGTAAATAGTGACAAGCTGGTGCAAATTAAATGGCGGCATGCCTTGGATTCTCTACCAATGCGTGTCAAGTGGATGGCCTGGTTTATTAACTTTAGAGTGACTTGGTTTCCTCTCGTCTTTGCATGGAGGGTGTAGGTGACTTTCCGGGATCCGGAGGCTGCTAGGAGAGCCTGTGCTGATCCAACTCCAATTATAGATGGCAGGCGCGCTAATTGTAATTTGGCTTCACTTGGCCGACCTCGACCTCCAGTGCCTTACGGTATCATCTCTAATTTGTCCGGTTAGTCTTGATCTTACAGCTGATGGCTTCATTATATTTCCATTTTTCCTTTTTTTTTGCCGCTTTAATATTACACATTCTGGGCGATTATTGTCTTCAAGTTGTAAAATTGTTCGTACCTAATATTTGCTATTCCTTTTTTTTCCCTTCTTTTTCCCCGTTTTCTCCTTTTATCTGTCATCATCTGTCTTAAATTTGGTTTCATTCTCGTTCCCACCAATACTGATTCAATTTTTCTTATGACAGATGTCCCTTTCATTTAAAACTGTCTTCCTATGCCCAAAGTGTGTCTCTTATAGTTTATCCTGTCCAAATCTTTGTGCTTCTAGTAGCAATTTGTAAGGTGGTTGCATTTTGTTTCCATTCAACTCGTAAGCTGATGGCATCATACTTGAACTAATTTTTCAATTGTTTCCGTTAGTTTCACATGTGACCTTTTGTATCAACCTCAATGATCTAGTTAATTATTTTCCCTTGTTATCTCTCTAATAGGACGTTTGAGACCAGCTTCTCCATACTTGGGAGGTGTGCAAGCTACACGAGGGACTTATGTTGGAAGTTTTGGCTATCAGCCACCACTTTCTTACAGCTATCAGCAAGGATTGATGTACCCTTCTTATGGGTGAGTTCTGCTTTCTTATTCAAATGAGTCTAATTATTTTGATTCTCCAATCCTGCTTCAATTCAGCTTGGCTTTTTTGAGCATCAAATTCTGGTTTTTATGATTTATACTTTATAGTTTCTCAGATCTTGTTTTATCAATTGCCTTAGAGATTTTATGTTAGGTTTCTTTTCTTGGGATTTTGTCCACAATGGACTTTGATACAAGTGCTTGACTGACACATTATGTTATCTGTCTGTAATGTTATATTTCCTGGGTTTTTCCACTTGGAATTTGAAAGAATGGACACATTAAGTTTTGGTTGAAGAATTTTTGCTTCTGTCTTTGGTAAATTTTCATTGCAGATCTCAAGGCTACTTTCTGTTAAATTTTTTCTTCATTTAAAATTATTGTCCTGTGGATTGAAGTGTTTTCACACATGTATGAACAGTAGGTCCAGATACATCTATTGTTTCATCGTAATGAGGAATAGGTTGTAGCCTTAGCATAAATATGGTTCCGTGCTGTATGTGCCCCATCAATCTACGACATAGTTGGAATGTTGGATCACTGTGGAAAGTTCGCTAGTCAGAGTTCCATTGGGTACATATCCTTTTGCAGCTACTTTCTCTTCTTCCTATTATTCTCCTTTTCGCATGGCAGTTCAAACCAATCACAGCATGTAACATTGGTCAAGGAGTTATTAGTCTTTACGTTAGGATTTAGGATTAATTACTCCAAAGTACAGTCATATGACATGGTGTGATTGGTAATTGCAGGAATGCAAAAAGTGGTAGTTGCGGAGGATATGTGCCCAAGCTCAATGTTTATTGAACAGGCAAGATCATGATTGTGATTTGATAAGGATCAAAAGGAAAAAAGAAATGTTGGGAGAAGAGGGTATTTGATTATTCCTGTTGGCCGAGTAGTTAGACTTATGACTTTACTGAGGAATCTCTTGGGCCTTACTTAGTATTGCTCATTGATAAATAGGAGCATGTTGGTATTTCACTTTGAAAAGTTGGTTGTTCTGATGTGATGAATGGTATTGTGTTTATTTCCCTGCTATAAATTCACACTCTAAAATTTGATGCCCAATTTCTGGTTTAAAGCTAATCTTTTTGAAATCTTTGATATTGTTTATCTTTGCAGGTATGCAACATATGGACCTGAATATGTCTATCCTCAGGTTAATGGCATTCTAAAGTGCAATTATTTAACTTTCATTAGAGTAAGTAATGCTTGGGATACTGATTTATTCTTGTTTCTTCGTGTGCTATCATTCTATGGACAGGGTCTTTACAACCCTCATGCAGCTCACCAGTACCTTCAGATATACGGAGTACCTGGAGCAGTTAATGCAGCTATCTATCCGTATGGACAATTGGGTCAAACTGTTCCTAGTGGACATGGTTATACGGCTGTACAGGGATATGCAATGCCAAGTCCTCAAATAGTGCAGTTTGGTGGACCCAGTGCTAATGCAATAACGTCTTCTCCAATGCCCACAATCCAAACACCATATCCTGGAGGTTAATATCAGTCTGAAAAATTACCTTTTTGTGCTTGCTTGTGCTACTGGCTTTGTCTTTTTTTTTTTTTCCCTAATTCTGTCTGCCAAGGATTTATACATCTTCATCTTTATATTTCGTTTAATCAAAAGTTATTCCTGCTCCGCATTGTAATATGGTATCTATTGGAGTATACAGAGAATGGTTCTCTTTGTTAAGCTTAGAGAAAGGGATGAACCATCATGAATGAATTTCTCAATCCTTTGTTTCTTGAACAATCGTAGAAAGCACCCGCTTTGAGAACCTTAAAGCAGGCCCTGTTGTTTTAAAATGGTTTATGGGATTAATTCAATGCAGAAGACCTTATGAGGCAAGTGTGTTTATTTATCAGGTATAGCAGCACCTGTTCCAGCACAGCCACAGTTTATAGTTACTACTCCCTCTCAGTTTATGCAAGGTAGCGGTTCTGACCAAACAACTGGGTGAGGAGTTGATCAAGGTAAGTAGTGAGATCTTGGGGAATGAAGTTCTTAGGGTTGCCATGGTCATCTTGCTATGGTATTAACTGTGGCTGGAGTTTTTAATTATTTCAGGTATCCTTAGATTGCAGCAGGACTAAGAGCAGCGGAACTGCTACTTGAGTGGCGGGCTTCGGATCTAGCCTTGCAAATTATTAATTTTGCTTTCTACAGGTACTATTAGTTTTTTCTTTCCTGCATTATAGATACAAGTAATTTTCTTTCCTGCAGTTAGTACTATTGAAAACCCAAAAATTAATGGAGAGGAAACAAATAAAATGTTGCTACCCCCATTGTAGGGATTAGTTCTGGGGTGGGATTAATAATTGCACTGAATATCATTTTGGTGGGGACATGTTTTTGTTTTTCATTAGAGCCTACAAATAGTTTTTGGTTTTCCATCTGATTTCTTTCATTAGAGCCTACAAATAGTTTTTGGTTTTCCATCTGATTCCTATCAAATGGATTCTGTTTGAGTTTATAATGCTAGATCATCACGGATTAGTCCTGATTTCATGGCGTGTTTGCCTATCAAAATGATTTAATTATGCTTGTTCTAAAAGTGAAGTGAGTTTTTTTAACAAGATATGACTACTAGAAGTATCATAGTGATTGTTTAGAGAACTGAAGAGAGTAGAAAGGAATGAAAGTTTTTATATGTGCTCAGGCGACAAGCTTGACATTGACTGCATATGTTCATGTTGCCTACATCTGGTGAAAAGGTGAGGGCTGTTTGGGACTGAAAGACTGCAGCTATGTACACCAGCTATCACTTTAAAATATTTTTCCTCTAACTAGTGCAGTGTGAATAACCTAACCTTAACTTTCAACAGAGGTTGAAGATTCTACTAGCCTAGAAATTCTATCTCCACCATTAAGTTTAATACAATTGGGAAATCAATAATGCTACTGTTAATATTAAAATTTTCCACTCTTCATTTAATCTTTTAGGGTGTATATTAAATTATATATATATATATATTTTTTTTTTTTTTTCTTTTTTCTTTTTTCTGGGTGTGGAGGCATGGTCTTACCACGTTTATGTTGTGCAGGTCATACGTAGTCATGCTCACCAGAGAAGTCAATGTTAATGTTGTCTTGAGTCGCTCCAGATGTGGAGAAACAACATGGAGGGTGCAGAAAGCTCTTCCTTTACACTGGTGTATCTAAAGCTCATATACTGCAGGTGCTCGGATTGGGTGGCCAGCAGTCATGGATTGATGGATGCTGGAATGGGTTTCTAGCAACCACGTAGGGAATAAAAATGGTGTAAAAATACATGATGGTAGAATCAAGATATGATTCTTTTATAAGTGTAGTCCCAGCATTTTGGTGTATAGATAGTCTCTGGTGTCTGGTGGTGTCCTGCATTGTATGTAGACATGGTTCTAGTTTTGTGCATAGTAGTAGTAGGGAGGGGGGGGGGGGGGGAGGGGGGGAGTCATTGGACACGCAAAAAAGTTGTGCATTTTATGAATGATTGTGAGAGCCTGACTTCAAAGAATGGAGGAAGCTCCGGATGCATTTTCTTTGAATTGAAAAGACCCAAAAAAAAAAAAAAGAAAAAAAATTGTGTGTACAAAGTATTCTTAGTTATTTATGTAATGTTAATGTAAGTAAGATGAAGGGCAAGTGGCATGGAGAAGTTCAAATGTGGGTTGAGAAGGCAGAACCGTTTCGTTTGGTTTGGTTTGGTAAGGTAAGGCGGCCTAATCGGAGAAATTGGTTAATTCGTAAACCTATGGACTGAATGAATATAAATACAAACCAACCAAAAATACTACTCTTAATAGTTTTAACCAAAATAAAAATAAATTAAATATTATATTAGTAGCCATTTAAAGGGAAAAAGTAGTACTAAATCAGGATATTATTCTGTATTTATTACATTATTATCATTAGCAGTTGGTTATCATGTATACTCCGAGTCTGAGCAAGAAAAATTAAAATAAAATTAAGGGCGGTATAAAATTAAGGGAGGTTTTCTTTTATTTTTAAAAAAAAGGTGGCCGTTTTACCCGTACGGTGTCGAGCCTTAGTGAAAATTGGAGTTAGGACAGAGAGAAAGGAAGGTTGGAAGCATGGCAGGAAAATCACCGGTGAAAGCAGCGGCCTCCTCGGACACCACCTCCACCCCAATCCCAAACCCAAACCAGTTCAAACCTCCCCAAATCTCGACCAAACTCACCACCCCAGCTGCAGTCAAGTCTGAAATCCCTTCCACTCCCACTCGCAGCAGCCGTCCATCTTCCATCGATGCTGACGTCATTCACGTCCCCAGCTACTCCCGTAAGTGCAGCGCATCTCGTTTCTCCCCCACCACCCTTGGCCCCTTAGTATACATACACTCCCTGTTTGTTAATTGTTAGTGCTAAACTATATAGGGTGGTTCTCATGGGGGAAGATAGATTCGTGCGAGCTCCGTTTCCTTCCAGAGTTCTTCGATGGTCGCTACCCTTCCAAAAGCCCTATTCTTTACATGTATTACCGCAACTCCATTATCAAGCAATTCAGGGAAAATCCTTCCCGGAAGATTTTCTTCACTGACGCCCGGAGGACTCTACTGGGCGACGTTGGTTCTGTTCGAAGGGTTTTCGATTTCCTTGAGCTCTGGGGTCTCATCAATTACTCCGCCTCCTCCACTCACCTCAAAGATGCTGCCCTCACCTCCAAACACTCGTCTACTTGTGGGCGTTTCTGTGGCGCTTGCAGGTCTCTTTGTACCTTCGCTTGCTTCGTTCACGACAAGGTCTCCCTTTTCCCTTCTTTTGATTATTCTACTGTTATTAACATTATTCTTGTTACCCTTTCTACTATTCTTTCCCTCGATTCTTTATAATCATTTTCTTGCTTGTAATCAATAAAAGCCGCAACTATACAGACATGGATTTGCCTTAACTATTGAGATAATGTAATTTTCTGTTTGCATTTATATTAAATGTTTCGTGTTTGAGGCTAAGACATTTTGGGAACTTTTGAGTTTGGTACCCTGAGCTGCTGAGTTTTTGAATCCCCATTTTCTTGTGCCGTATGACTCCACCCTCTGTGCAAGGTGCTATGTTCAGGGCAACTTTAGGGTTGGTCTTAGCAATGCTGATTTCAGTAGGGTAGAGATCACTAATGAAGCCAAGGCAGATTGGTTAGAAAAAGAGACTTCGCTCCTTCTGGAAGCCATTATCCATTATGGTGATGACTGGAAAAAGGTTGCACAGCATGTTGGTGGTAGAACTGACAAGGATTGCATCCCTCATTTCATTAAGCTTCCTTTTGGAGAGGAATATCTTGGTCATCCATGCTCTGACAAGGCCGAACCTGGATTTGAAACCAACAAAAGGATGCGCCTCACACCTCTTGCTGATGCAAGCAACCCAATAATGGCTCAGGTATGTCTTTTTTCTTGTTTAACTTGAAACATAAGGAAGATGGGATAGGAACTTGCTAAGCTAGTATTTGGACTCAAATGCACCTAACTTTTTTGCTGCCATAATTTCCTTATCAAGTTCTTACGGCCTGGCTGGCAATCAAGCTCAAGATGCATAACTTGCTTTGCACTAATGCCACAATTCAAGGAGTTTGTTGGGTTCTAGTGAATATCTCAAGTACCTGCATAAACTTAATGGCAACATAAACTCAACCATCATTTTTTTGACGTCCTGCTCTGCACTGCATGTTAGTGTGGGTAGGCTTCTTATTTCTATATTGCTCCATTATGTGCTTTGAGAGTAATGGATTAGGATAATTCTGATGCCGACGTTCAAAAAGCAGTGGCTGTAGCTAATAGACATCCAGCAAATCCATTTGATGGGAAAGGGATGCTTAATATTTTTAGTTGTATGCAATATTCGACAGATTATAAGCATTGATTTTGATACACTAAAATTGATTTTACTTTTGTTCCAAAACATCAATTATCTGATGTTGTTGAGGCAGTTTTTGTTTAGCAATAAATGTTTGTCACTTACAACTTTTTTCAGGCTGCTTTTCTATCAGCATTGGCTGGTGTGAAGGTTGCAGAAGCTGCCACCCTGGCAGCTCTTACCACTTTATCTGAGGTGGATGACACCAGAGCTAGCAAAGTGGGTCGTGGATCTCTTCTAAGAAACACAAGACAAGGTATGAATGGCTTCTAGTTTTACACTAACTTCAAGCATTTAGAGATTTGCTTATGTGTTGCATCTGCATCATGATTGGATCTACATACTTGGTATTTGTTGGAGGTGTCACCTTGTTTAACTTGATATCATGGATGACTATTGTGTTGGCTTATTTAACTTGATATCATGGTTGATTAGTTATTAATATGCAACTCCTATAATTCTGACAAATGATATAACTCTGGATTATATTTCCTTGCTTGTGAAAGCAGCCAATAGTGCCTGTGCTAGTCATAGGCCATTTTCACATTTGGTCTGCAGCTCATAAGAGTTGGCTCCAAATAGTTTACCGTTTAACATCCTCCCACCTGGGCATCCGCAGCCTAGAGAAAAAATATAAATAAATAAATAAGAAAGATCATCTAGCATTGTCTGCACATAATATATTCCTTTAAAAAAAGGGGCCGTCTTGACTGTTGAAAATTTCTTGTTGAGACTGGCATTTGGCTGAGGCTTTATTTCCTTTTGGCGTAGAAGCAGATATTTCATCTGATGGTGACACCAACCTAAATGCATTGGAAAGAGCATATGCAGATCTGGATTCACTGCTTGAGAAGGAAGAACAAGACATTGAAAGGGCAATCAATGGAATTACAGAAGTGCAGGTATGTAAGGCTTCCTAGATTAGTATCTAGGATGTTGAATTTATAAATTATTTACTGAATATCCTGAGTTTTGCAGATGAAAGAGATCCAAGATAGGATTCTTCACTTTGAGGAGTTGTATTTGCAGATGGAGAAAGAGAGGCAAAAATTTGAGGGCATGAAGAATCTACTTTTTATTTACCAGCTCAATCTTTCATTTGGTAAAAGTTATGCAATGAAAACTGAAGAACGAGTGATGGAGAAAGTAAAAACTGATTTCATAATCATTGTTTGTATCCTCTTCTATTTGCCCCTGCAGGCTATGGCCAATAGAGAATTTCTTGAATTCAAGGAAATTGCCTGCCAATGTTTCTGAAATACGTAGGCAAATGTTAGTATCAGTGCATAACCAAGGCTGGAAAACCTGGTCCAACGTTCAATGAAATATGTATGAAAACATAATAGGGCGATAGGAGTAGAACCATACAGAAAGTCGTGCTGCTCCTGTAATTTTCTTAGGTTTGGGTAGGATGGTTTTCAAGTCTGGTGCAAGTGCAGCAGAAGTAATTCATGGTAGATACTGTGAATTGCCTAAAGTTAATTTATTAGGGTAACAGAATCATCAGTGTCTAAGGATATTGAAAGCCTTTAAATAATAATTGATCAAATTTCATACAAGGAGAATGCCTCGTAAAAATCTAAGGCAATAGCTGCTTCATAAATGACTAATATATTACAAATTACGAGGTTCTGCAGCACTCTCTGGAAAAAATAAATAAATAAATGAAGAGTAACTTTTTTTTTTCTTTTTTGTTTGCGAACCATGTTCGTTTAGCTAGGACAATGTATCAATCAATTGACGTGAAAATGAAGGGAGGAGTGACTTCTTAATCTGTGATTGTTGCTTCAAATGAATTTGAAGGATGATACAGCCTGCAAGACCAGACTTGAAATTCAGCAAGGAAATGTGAAGCCAGCCATGAGTTCATCAATTTTCTATTATAGATATATAGAAAACAATCATGCTGCACTAAGTTCATATTTGGGTTAATGACCAAAAAAAGGGGTTAGTGTTCTGTTCATAAAATTTACCAGGGCTTTTTCTGAAAGAAATAATGAGATGCAGGGCTTGCTTTCTCTTAATTCTATAATTGGAACCACAAGAACCTGAAGATGCAAAAAGTTCTAGCTTTCTTGTATATTATTGATTAAACTACCTTCTCAATTCTGGAACCATATTTCTCTGCCTCTTCTTCCACAAACTGCGGCAAAATGACATAGGAATAACAGAATCATAGAAGGTACAGAGAAAGAACAAGTGTTTTGGTAATACAAGAATCAAGTAACTGAATTGTATGTATGTATGTATTTCATGTAAGCGCACCTGTCCTGTGACAGTGTATAGTCTGTTGTACCAACCATTGGATGCCATTCCAATAGCAGAAAACAAATGTTTTCGACTTTCTCCTGGATTTTGCAATGTGTACTCAATATAGTAGAAGCCTGCCCAATGGTTAAACAAAATGTAATTAATCAAGGGTAGATGGGAAGAAGATCTACTGTCTGTAAGTAATTGCAGAATCGTTTCAAGTAGCGCCAACAAATTATTTTTTCTGTGTACATGAAAACCAAAACCATGGAGGTAGAAAAGTTCTGACGATTTTCAATCATGAAGAAAACATCCTAGTTGAATCGATCTCCTATAAAGCTCTCGTGTCTGGAGCATTTTTTTAGTCTTATCAAATCCATTCCATAGACTATATATGTATCTGTCCACGGTAGAGGATGGTCTTGAATAATACAAATAATTACCATTACCAGCTTTGCAATCTATGAGTTTTGCTGCCACACCTGGAGGCCTTTGCCAGCTCCTATCCAGTCCACTAACCTATTGGAAATGCAGTTAACCACGCGTGGTTAAGCACAATTAATAGAAAGAAATCATGAAAATTAGCTGATGGAAGCAACCAATTTGCCTACCAGAGTGTCCGCAAAAGCTTCAACTTTGCCGAATGATTCCATTCTAGTAAAATCCGGGCCAAGCCCCGTGATGACGACGGTGACTGAAGCAACCAATTTAGAAACTAAAATTCTTGCATACACAAAAAGAAAAGATGTGACCACAAGGAAACTGCGAGAGTACCATTTGAGTTGGCAGCTTCTTCTGGGTAGAAAGCAGTAATGGACTTGAATCCATTGGGTTCACCAGCTCCCACTTGCCAATCTGCATCAACAACTAGTCATTTCTATCTCTCGCCAAGTCCAAAATCTGTAAGTTGAACAGCATTTCCCAGAACTAGAACAATAATTCTAATTGTAATCGGGTTTGAACATGTAAATTTGGGTGAACTAAGGAAAAGACTCACCTTGGGGAATAAAAATCCTGAACTTATTGACGTCATCAGTATACTCCCGGAAATTTTGTGGCACATCTGAAACAGAGAGGAAGAGGAGAATTGAGAAGAAACAGTAGGGAAAATTAAATTAAAGAAATTAAAAAGAAAGGAAGAACATGTACCATTCCCTGGGAGAGCCAGTACATTAGAGTCAGACATAAATAATTGCGGCAAAGAAATGGAAATAAGAGGCGCCTGAAGCACAATTTGTCTTCTTCTAGTAGATCTAGTTGCATGGCCATGCCCATCTTCTTCCAGTGCTTCTTCATGACTGTGGCAAATGGATTGGAATAACCGAATAAAAGAAAGCAGAATTTAAGGAAAATGAGAATAAAGCAAAGAGTAGGATTAGATTACAAGGGTTTATTATTTTGTTCATGTTGTGGGCGGTGGCTGTAGTACTTGTAGCTGAGTACGGGTTGCTTTCTTTTGGTATTTGCGATTACGCCTGAACAAAACCAAATCAAAGTAAAAACAGTCAATAGATAAAGAGTAAAGTAGCTTTATTATTGCTAGCCTAGGGAGTTGGAGAGGAGTGGTATTACTACACCGTTCTTGTTGAAACAAGGTGAGATATAGCAGCAATGCCAATACACTGACGCCATTGTTTTTAGCTTTGCTTTTGCTGGACTGGATTGGATTGGATTGGATTGGGCGTTTATTAACTAACCAACGCTTTCAATTGGATGGACTATCTTTTCTTTTCAATTTTTGTGGCTCAAAAAGAAAACAAATAGTGCTGCCAGTAAACCACCTTATTACTACTACTAATAGCTGGGGCCGGGCTTCGCCCGGTTTTTTTATTGCTTTTTTGTATTGTATTAAATACGTTTTTTATTGGGTAATTGCAATATTGAATAGAAAATATTAATTGTTAAATAAAAATATTATATAATTTCGTGCTAATCAATACTTTAAATCTAAGGATTTTATAAAAATTATGAACAAAATAAACAAATAAATTTAAATTTTATAACGTTTATTATAATTTTCAGTGCATGCAATGCAATTATTAAGATAAAAATAACATGAAATATTGTCAAAAAATTAAAAATAAATCAAAAACTTTAATATCATGACAAAGCTAAAAAAAAAAATCCAAAAGAAGACAAAACCAAATTGAAAAATAGTTAGATACTTTGTAACTATAAATGATTATTGAACAATTTATTCATAGCAACAAAGCATGCATCAGTTGCCCCAACGACTGACATAATTCGTTAAGGATGTAGTACCTTTATGACTACCCTCAAAATGTTAACGATACTTGGCCTTAATTGCCTTGCCACAACTTACGTTTTAAGTGCGATGTATTTGGATGGTGTCAAGCTAGGTGATGTCCAGGCTACGATCAGTGGTGTATATACTGTTGCTTTTTTCTTGTTTATCTCACATGTTCGCCCACTACCTACCCTTTAAGCTGCATGGCCCCAACGCCATTAAATTGGTTTTGAGTTGTCATATGTTCTCCATCAATAGGCTAAAGCTTATATTTAATTCTCCTGGTAGAGAACTCTATATGATCTTCTGCCAACCCCACAGAAGCACCCTGTGTACCATTAATTGACATAAAAAAAAAAAAAAGATAATAGACAAAACAAATCAATACAAAAAAGAGGGAAAATGCTTGAATATGAGCATACACCATATCACTCAAAAAACAGGACCAACACATCAACCATTGAGCTAATAAATCAAAGTTTAAACTTTAGAATAATATTATTATCCCCAATTCAACGACTATCATTGGTACAGAGATATTTAACAAAAATAGAAAAGGAAAAACCTCAAATTAAAACTTTTACTCCCTATTCAATCATTTTCTTCATAAAAAAGATAGTGGGTAAAAAAGAAATTATAAAACATAATTGACAAAATCTAAAATGAAGCATTCCTACAAAACTGGCATAGACAATGTATAAGAACCACCATGTTCTAAGCATGTCCAAAACTCTTTGAAGCGAACAAAGCTTTTACTTCCAACATCAAGAAACACAAAGAGAATGTACCTCTAGAACTAGTTTTGCCAATTCCAGCAAGGCAAGAGAAAAGAAATCAAGGAGAGAAAAAAAAAAATCATAGATTCAACTTATATTCCTCGTCTAATCCTTTTCTTCATAGAAAAGGTAAGGTAGTGGATATTTACAAAAAAAATATAAAGTACAATGCATAAAAACTAAAAATGAAAACTTCCCATAAAACTGGTGTATAAGTACTAATGCATTCTTGGCATGATCCTATAATCTTTGAAAACAAAGAGAGATCATACTTCCAACTTCAAAAAAAGGAAGACAAATTACCTTAAGAGCTGGCTTTTCCAGTTCCACCAACTTCCTAGAAATTCACATAAAAATTAACAATTACTTGTGTAGAAATTTGGAAAATTATATAAAAGAACACTGGCAAAAAGAAAAGTTCAAAAAGTACAATATAAAGTACAACAATAGATGAAAAAGAACGGCTCACATGAACATTATGCTGCCTCTTCAATCTTGATTGAAGACTTTAATATTTCTAATCTTTTAATTTTATTCTTCCTTCCATGGAGTCCATAACTAAATACTCTATGTAAATATATATAACTTTTACTAATATAAGTAGAAAACATGAGTAGCTAACAAAAAAAAAAGGAAGGAAAAAGACAAAATAAAAAATAAACAAACACAATTTCAAGCAACATTTTATAATCAAGTAATACATACGAAAAAAAGGGAAAATGAAATGCTACAAAACCAAAAAAAAAAAGAAGAAATAAGTGGCATTAAAAGAAACACAGCTTCGCCAATTTAAAATTTCACCATTTTGCAAAATTTTAAATTGGCAATTGACTGAAAAACAATGTAAAGGTACCATATTTAGGTTACTCATCGGAGATTATCTATCTTGAAGTGCTAGATAATTAAACTTTAAATCTAAAAAATTTTAATGTTGTGATTATAAATGGAATGGATTATGTTTGTTCATTAAAATAGCCATCATATTTATCACAAATTCATAATGCAAGTCTCCAGTTTCCACTTGCAAAATTTACTTCATTTTCTATGTCATAGTTATTATAAATTTATAATTAACTATGAAATTGATTGATTTTTCTTATCTATCATTTTCTGACATTTTATGCTCTAAGGTTGATAAGACCTAAAATTGAATAATTAATTTTTTAATTTAAAGCAATAAACTGTTATTATGCACATAAATTACCCAAATTGAGCACATATATTGCAGCTACTCACAGAAAGTAAGATAGATTTATTTCTTGATTATATATCTCATTGCATATTTCATGTTGAGAGCAACCAATAAAAAAAAAAAAAGAAACATTCTCGTTGAGCATAAGAATGTCCTATAAATCCACAAAAAGGGAATTGAAACTTAGATAGGAGACTTCAATTTTCTATTAACCATACACATAAATCACATTACAAAAAAAAAAGAATCAATTGAACATTTTAAGTACAAAGACAATGCTAAACAACATCACATAACAAAACATATTAAATTTGTATGCTTCTTGCGACAACTTTGAACAACTCTTAATAACGTTAAAACCTAATAATCAGTTTTTCAATTATTTAAATTCATAAAAAAAAATCTTCAAATTGAAAAATAAAACTAACAAAAACAATAAAAACTTATTTCCATCTAAAACAATAACATGCAAAAATAAAATCTTGTAAAAAAAAATACATCTGCAATAATATGCAGAACTTTCAATCACAAAACCTAAAAACTCATTCAACAATGAAATGAAAACACTAACAATCAAACCCAAAAGGAAACAAAAAACCATATTCAAAGACAGAATAAAAGAGGAAAAAATTTGTACCCAAAAATAGCTAAAAAACAAAAAAGGAAATAAAAAACTTACAGGAAAACGAAGGATACCTTAAATATTAAAAAAGAAAGAGGCAAAGAGAAATAGACATAACAAAAACATATTAAATAAAAAAAAAAAAGAAGCTTCAAAAATAGAGTAAAAACACCTGCCAAAAACAGAACGAACAAAATCAACAGTTGTCTAAAAAATCACATGACTCTCCATTAAAACCAAAGAGACAACAACAAAAAGAAAAAAAAAAAAAAAAAAAGGTGGCAGCTTAAAACCCCCCATGAGATTCTTTTTATATAGGATATACAGATTACTACTACTTACTAGTACACATTTTATGGTTATTATTATTATTTTTTATAGAATTTTATGGTTAGTTTAGTTGAACCAAATCGTAGTATGATATGATTGCAGAGTAAAGTATTTTTTTCTATACTCTAAAAAGAAAAAGAGAAAATTACGACCACCATTTAAAATTTTAAGTATGTCTGTCATTAGTAGTCGTGTATATGTCTGTCATTAGTACTCGTGTACATATGATATATGATTACAGATAAGAAAATTCGTACTAAAAAAATTGTAGTCAATTATTCTCCTCGGCACTTTGCTGATGCGGTCCCTCGCACTAATTTTATCCAAATCTTGTCTTGTCAATGTCGGTACAACTGCGTTAAGCTTTTCCACATCTTGCCAACTTCAGCAAAAAGGGCTAGGGGGAGACCTCCTGGTTCTGGCAAGAAGCTTCAACTTGAAGCTCTGGGTACTCTTTCTCTTGATACTCTCTCAAATAAATATTTTTTTTAATCATTAATTTAATTAGAATTTCATTTTTGTTTTTTTGGGTGGGGGGAGGGGTATATAAACACATACACCATATCTGGATGTCACGAGACAAGAATGGGGAGTGTTTGAGATGTTTGCTTTGAGTTTTGACACTTTGATTTTGGAAGTCCAGTTGTGTCTTTTTTTTTTTTTTGTTGGTATGTGTGTATCGGTGTTGCTGTTGATTTATAGGGAGTGATTAGCATTAGTTTTGGGTTGTGAGACAGAGGATGGAATGGTCGCTCACCGCTGAGTGGTAAGTAAGAGCAGTGCAATACTTACTACTAAGAAGCAGAGTAGATGAGTGGTAAAAAATAGGTCGGAACATCAATTATGTAAATATGCACATCTACATCACTTAACAAAACCAAATATAGTTTTGGTTTTTGCTTCAACTTGGCAGATTCTTATCTTGCCCAAGTTACTTGTATGCCCTTGCTTCATTTTCTGTTGCCCCTTTCTACTCTCTCTTGTTTGCACGCTGCTATCAGCTAGCAATTAAAATGTCTACTAAGGTTACTTATGATATTTATAGATATATATATATATATTTCCTGAATAATACTGAAATAATAATTGTAGTTAATCAGCTATGATTGCAGCTTTCTTGTTATTACAAGATTTTTGTTCCTTTCTTTTCCCTCTTCTCCTTAAATTACTTTTTCAAAATGAAGCATAAGTGTTAGCTATGTATCAACCTAAAAAAAAATTACAAAACAAAAAATTTTAGAAGCCAGAGCTATGTATCTTTGTATTTGTGTTACTAAGGTGACATATTTTAGTCAAGAGTGTTTTCTTTTTGCAGGATCATCAGGAGTCGGGTTTATGCCGCACGTTATCGCTGTCAAAGCGGGAGAGGTTTCTCTTTCTCCTTTAACTTTTCATTTCTACTTTTCTTGATTTATGTAGAAAACTTTTTTCTCATTGCTTTTATTCTTTATTTGCTAGTGTTAACTATCTTAGCAAATTCCTTTTCCTGCCATTTATTAATAATGACATGTTCATCTACTTGCTTGATTCCAATATTTGTGTCATGAGTTGCCAAAACTTCTTTTATTTACTTTGTTTTTGTATAGGTTTTTACTTGCAATTATTGTCTTTGTTCAGAACCATATTGATTCAGGAGCAAAGAGTTATGTCACTAAATAATTGCACTTTAGATGTGATAAAATGAAATGCCAAATTGGTGAAAATGATCATTTCACAGATTGCCTTTTCTGGCAACCGGAATTGTTCACAACAACAAAGAAATAATGAAGTAAATTTAAAATTTGATAATGCTTGTGATTTTGCAATTTCAGAATGTATACACAAGTTAAAACAAAGTAGTGCAAAGTGGGAACGAACCACTTTATCTTGATGATGATTTTTATGAACTGTTTCCTTAATTTGGTTGAAGATAATATGTCTTTTCTGTAAATTCAATAAATCTACCGTACATGCAACTATGGTAAAGGGGACATACCTTTTCTTTTATTAAATTTTTTTCTTGCTTGACGTGAAGGATCATAATCCTTTGCTTCACTGGCAGCCTGCGCACCATTCTAAATTTTACCGTGCATCTTTTATACAAACATATGTATGCAATGTATCTCTTCTTTCAATGATATGGTACTTCTAGTTAATTGGGCGATCTGAAGCTAACATTTTATGTCTCTGCCTGGTTTTAGGATGTATCATCAAAAATAATATCATTTTCTCAACACGGTCCCAGAGCCGTCTGCATCCTGTCAGCAAATGGAGCCATATCAAACGTTACTCTTCGCCAACCAGCGACATCTGGCAGGACTGTAACTTATGAGGTTTGTTATATGCTAGAAATGTAATATCTTCTTATTGTTGTTGCCTTTCATATTTGGATTTAAATTTATGCCTATAAACTGCTTTAGGAATTGAGAGCTTTACAGCTTAGCTCTGGAAGTTTCATAAAGGCAAAATAACATTTTTATTTTCATTAGTAATTTTTGGGGTGTGTGAGAAAGAGGTATATATTTGCATCCAGAGTATGAACCTGATAGATGGATGGTCATATCCTGTTAAAAGTATAAACATTAAACTAAGAAAGCATTAGTATAATACTTGTTAAAGTATGCTGCTGTTTTTCTGATGTACTCCCAATGGGCAATGGCTAAATAAATTTAAGAATGAAAAAGAAAATACTGTTAATTTGTCTGATGCTTGTTAGAATCATTGATGTGTATGTACTGTTAAATGCAATTGGAGCAGGAATAGAGCTTCCTTATATCAAATGAAAATTTAAAGGTGTTTGAATAGTAAATCTCAATTCTCAAGCATAAAGCTGAAGCTGGATGCAGCCATGGGAAGCAATATGCAAAAGTGGATTTATTATCGGCATAGAGCAGAACTTGGCATATCTTAGGGCAATGATTGTTCTGATTCTGGAAGCATTGTTAAACTATGAAGATGTGCCCGAAATGAGCTTTATAGTGAAAAACAATTATATCAAACGTATTAGTATTGAATTTTGGTCTACAATAAAATATAATTTTACATATATTCCACAGCCTTTATAAAGAGAAAGCACTACTTTACTATGAATAATCCCATATTAATGGCATTATGTTTCTTTCCCATTAATGGTGTAGGGGCGATTTGAAATTCTGTCACTTTCTTGTTCATTTCTTCTGTCATAAAATGGTGGTCAGCGGAGCAGAACTGGAGAGTTAAGTGTGTCATTGTCTGGCCAAGATGGCCGTGTCTTAGGTGGTGGTGTAGCTGGCGTTCTAACGGCTGCATCCCCTGTTCAGATTTATTTTCTTTTTACCATTTACCATTTTTAATTAATGCTCATTCTTCTGTACAAATATTTTTCATATTGCCTATATTTTCAACCTTTTCAGAATCTTGCATTATACCTGATGGATCAAAAACACACTATGGGAAGTTAAAGTTTCTCTGAATTTGAAAAATGATGTTAAAATTTCTATTGTCTCAAGAAAATAATAAATATTTTTGTGATTGATGTTTTTATTAATACTCCAACTATTAATATTATTAAAAAGACTGTAAAATTGAAATATAAAAGGATAAAAGTTAAAGCTTTTTTCTTTAATACGCATGTGTTGTCAAATAGAACATTTATTTGAGATGAATGGAGTATTGGAGCGTGTACAATTTTACATGGTTATATGCTCACATATGTTGGGTAAGATCATACAAGTCACTGGATTTAGGGAAGAAGAGAAGGGAGAAAAGAAGAGTAGGTGGTTTGGGGGTGTCCTTTAAAGCCATTAAGTTTGATGATATTTACTATTATGTCAACTGTCAGGTATTTAACATTGGGGCATTTTGGAGGGTGGAGAAATGGCCACCCTCCCTCCCCTAGTCTTTATCAGTCAGCTATGTGAATGTTTTAGAATTGTAATGTAAAACCGACACGAGTCCTGGTGCTGCTATTGGCTTTTGCTTCTATACGTTACTAACCATCTCATTGTAATTACCCTAATAATTCACATGTCTGTGCTAATGATATTGAGCTTCCTGTTGCTTGCTTGCAGATGGTTGCGAGTAGTTTTATTGCAGAGAGTCGAAAGGAATATAACTCAGCATACCAGATGGAAACTCTATCTGCCCCACCAAAGCTTGCTCCAGGTGGTGTGCCAACAGGGGACACCAGCCCACCGCCTCGTGGTACTCTAAGTGAATCTTCGGGTCGGCTGCGTAGCCCGCTTAATGAGAGCCCAGGAGGCTGCAATAACAACAACCCACAAGGCATGTCAAAGTTGCCATGGAAGTAAATCCTGCTTAACTTTGTAGTCTTCGACTAATTGTGTAGGGGCATGGGCTTTTGGGTTGTGTTGTGCTATTACTATTCAACATAGGCAGAATCGTTGCCTTGTTTAAGTGAAGTAGAATAAAACTACAGGATGTTGGTTGCTAGACTGCTAGAAAGGGCATCCCAAACACGGTTAGTGGAATTTATCCGTTTCTCTATCCATCGAGGTGATATTGATGCGAGTTGAGTTTGGCTGGATTTTGCTCTCTCTCTCTCTCTCTCTCTCTCTCTCTCTTTTTAATTTTTAAAATTTTATTTTTTATTTTAATGAGGATGATTATGGTTTTTTCTATCGAATGCTCCTATTACTGTTCATTCTTCTGCATCCGTATCATTTGCGTATCCATAAAAGAAGTCATCATTCCTACTTGTTATGACCATCCAAAGGAATTAACCATGATGCAATTAAACAGCAATCCATATCTAGGAGAACTATTTGAAAATTTAAAATTCCCCACCATCTGTTCCATCACATGAAACACTCCATTTTTAATCCCCCAACTTGTTTGGGGTAATTTCACGAAGTTTAATTATCTCATTCATAACCACTCTCTACCGAGGATGAGGTATCATACACCACATGTATAATTACCCAAAAGCAATGCTTACACTATTTTTTTCGCTCTCTTCAACAACAGCCGTAATGAGGGAAACCCAAGAGCAAAAGTCTGCCAGAACCATCCTCTCGCATTAACAGGATCCACTCTTTTTGCCAGGCACCACGCATATATGGCTTCCCCAATATGTACTGCAGTAGCTACGCAAAATGCTAGCCGTATTCCAAACATTGATCGGAAGAAGAAAATACCAAGAGATCTAAGGACTGGCACAGGTCCTATGGCTGGGAACCAACCACTAGCAAAAAGTAGAATCATTCCAATCACACAAAATCCCCATGCATATACTGTAGGTCCGTCCAAACTTTTCTTTTTCCTATCCTGCCAGTATGAGATAGTCGCAGCCATGCCTTCACGAGGACTCACCATTGGAACATATCCAAGCTCACGCTGCGCTTTAAGGAATGAGAAGTAATGTGTAACACCAACCTGTCAACATGCATCAGGTTCATCAAACATAATATTGTACTTAGGAAAACTTTGTGATACCACATCAACTTCCTATTCATCACATTTTGTAGAAAAAACCCTTTGGTAAAAGGAAATATAGTAAAAGATCAACAGTTTTACTACACAAAATCAGAATGGATCACTGAGTATTTGTTTTTGGTTCTCTCTGTGAAAGCTTTGAAGCACAGACATAAGTCGGACCAGGGAAACGGGGAACCACATATTACAAACCTTATGCACTTCAGCAGGAAGAATGAAGGGCTGAGGAAGCCACCACCGATTCAAAAATGGATATAACATTGTGTATACAGCCCAGAAAATCTTTGCAAGAAAAAGAGCATGTGAAACAGCAAGCCAGGATTTTGGTAAGTCATAATCTAAACTTCTTAAAATTGGTTGGATGAATTCAAAGGTGTTGATTGGAAACCCTGCAAAAAGAAAATAATTTCATCCAAGAAAAAGACCGTGCCATTTTAACTTGTGTCTCAAATCTTCAACTTCACCCAGTAAAATAGTCACAGTGGATAAAACTGCTAGGACAAATAGTTCTGCATAACTTATGAGGGAAAAAAGAAAAGAAAAGAAAAATGTGAATTGATCACATTTAATTACCATCTGATATGAAGTATGGCTGGCCAGCTGCGACTGGACGCCCTTCTTTTCCAGGAATGTCATCTAAAAGTCCCATGCTTGCCAATAGTAGTGCGAGTACCAGGTTATCCACATAAACCCAGTCTGTTTTGACATTAGCATCACCTATTTTGAATGGCACCAAACCCAACTTTGCCAGAGATACTATCCTAGGAAGGTGACGCTCTTCACCTGGTCCATATATGGCAGCTGGACGAACTGCACAGGTATAAAGACATTTTCCAGTATTCTTCCTGTGCAGCAAAGAATTGTCCATGTAACTAATTTCTCGTTGCAGCAGAAAATGGGGCAGAGTATAAACTCAAAAAGATTTCTTGTACCATTTTGTTCATGCCTAAAATAAGAGTAGCAGGGAAAGATTACCATACTTGAGGATTTTTGCAGTTAAATTTACTTACTTAAAAGGGCGGCCATTGTACTTAAGAACCAACTGTTCAGCAATAGATTTACTTCGCCCATAGGAATCAACATGGTCATCAATTGGGAAATAGGGCAAGGCCTCATTGCCATTCACAATCTCCCTTCCCCCAAAGACAACATTATATGTGCTGACATAAATAAGCCTTGAGATCCCAAATTCAAGGCAAGCCTCCAAGACATGGCAGGTTCCATTAATATTCACCTCGTCCACACGAGCAAACTGAAGCATTTCTTTTCCTGACATGCCATATGAAGCCAGGTGGAAAACGCAATCGGCACCAAGAAGAGCATTTTCAACATCTTTTTTCAGGACAAGATCGCCTGTTGTCAAGATTTATATATGGGTAAGCACCTAAAAGCAGATATCTATCCAGAATGGAGTGAAGGCAGACTTGATATTATAGGTATCTCAAAATGGGTAATTCATGGTCACCTCCAGAGATAAAAGGCATTGCGCAAACTTTATGTTTTAATCCAGATTTATATATGCTAAGAAACCTAGATTGAAAAGTTTAAACAAGATTTACAAATTCACGAAAGTGTGCAAGTCAGTGATTTGGAAATTTTAGAGCAAATTCTAGTAGAAGTAGTCACTTTTGTTGTTTCTTCCGAATATTAGAAGGAAATTAGTACAAGAAGAAAAGGCAAACCTTGGATGCAGCGGACGCCGTGGTTAATGAGGCGGTGAGACCAAGGGGAATGAGGTCGGAGGTCAAAGGAGCGAACTTGACGAGCACCCCTCCGTATGAGCTCCAAGCAGAGGGCTGAGCCAAGGAACCCCAGCCCACCCGTGACCACGAAGGTGTTCCCCTCGATGCCTTCATTCTCACTCAAGTGCATTTTCTTTTTTTTCCTTGTTTCTAACAGGAATGGATCGGGTTATTTGGGTGGTAGACGTTGACTGATATTAATGGATGGATCGAAACCGGGATTGAGCTTGACGGCGATAGGGGTGTAAATGATACATTAGTACTTGTAAGTTATTCGGATTCGATTCAAATAAAATTTAAATTCAGTTCGATTATTATCGAGTTAAGCTCGAGCTCAAGCTCGAGTAGCTCGACTTATCGATCGAGCTGAGCTCGAATATTTTTATACTCGGTTTGAGTAGCTCGCGAGCCTAATCGAACTTTTATATTTAAAATTTTTTTATTATTTTAATTAATAAAATATCTCAAATTCGAGTTCGAGCACAAATAATTGAATTTTTATCGAATATAAAAATCGAGCTTATTTTAATATATTAATCGAGCTTAATCGAGCGAATTCGAGTAGCTCGATTTCGATCACGAATCGAGCTCGAGCTAGAAAAATAAAACTCGATCGAGTTTGAGCCGAGTATCGAGCTTCAAGTTGGGAGCCGAGCTCGAGCTTCTCATTATATTGACTTGACTCGGCTCGATTACACCCCTAAGCGACGGTGCTTCTTCTTCTTCTTCTTATGTTCCAATTTCTTTTTCTTATTTTCTAAATAGAAACTTCATTTTTTTTGGATAAGTATTATGTTCATTATCCCATAAGCAGTAAACTGCTACAAGAAACATGTACAACTCTTCCAATATTTACATTTCAAATATACCTCTACTTAACCTTTAACTCCCACTCAATGCTTGATTTACATGATCAAAAGCAATACTCTTCAGTCTCATTACTCTTAATCTGACTACTTCTTTAATTTGCTTTAAAATAATCTCTTATACTAATGCTTTTGACTTGTATATGCTTTTATTTCTCCTTGCCCATATCCCGTGAATGTATGCTCCCCAAGCTAACTAAAGTATAAAGGAAACCAATGCCTTTTCTTTACGCTTGGTCGCAGCTTATTGGAACTCATTTTCCCATCAAGTACTTTTCATCCTAGGTTACATAGCGATAGTACCTGCTTTCATACTTTTTTGAGTAGCTGCAACTGAAGAAGATGTGATCTCTTATTTTTTTTCTCCTACTTATTTAGTACACAGATCTCATCTACAGAAATCTCCCATATAATTAATTTGTCCTTAGTGGAGAGTCAATTAAGAATGGCCATCCAAGTTATTATAACAAATTTGGGAATATATAGCTTACACCAAACAAGTCTGTGCCAGTTTACTTTTGGCTGCCTTTATCTTATTTTATCATACACCTTAGCAACTAAATAACCTAATGGTGCAACTCAAACTAGTAGTGGACATTCAAAACTATAGTATCAACTGGAATCACTTTTGGCAAAAAAAAAAAGCTAAAAAGAAAAATAAGAAAATAGTAGAAAATAGAATAAAGGAAGAAAGAAACAAAAGAGACAGAAAAGTTTTAGGAATCTATTGTGTGTATTTTTTTTCCCTCCTATCAATACATCATTTTAATAAAATTGTAACTATTTCAGCATAACAGTCATTTTCAATACAAGAACTATTAATAGAAACTGTCATTTTTTAAGACTAAATGACCTAATTGATTTTATTTACTGTAACTAATAACACCTAACCCTTTGCTTTGCCATATCACCCATTCTCCGTCTGTAACAAAAATCTATTGGCAATACTTTTCATTTGCAATAGCTTCCTCATACACCTGCTGTAGACACCCAATTGGGTCCGGCCCAGATCAATTGGGTCCTGGCCCAAATGGGTAAGCCCAATTCAATTTTATCTTGTATTTTTTTTTCCTCTTCTTTTGTATTTTATGTATTGTATTATTTATTATTATTATTATGTATTAATATATGTATATATTTATTTATTTATTTCTTGTTAATATTTATGTGTATTTTATTATTTATGTATATATATTAATTTTTTTTATCTTTTTTATTTTATTCATTTTTGTATTTTTACTTATCTAATTATATATCTGATATATTTTTTTATTATTATTTTATTTATCCTATAATATCTGTTGATTTATCTTCTCTAATTATCTAGTTTTTTTTTTTATTTGATTTTTATTTTGGAGGGCTAGGATTGAAAGTTGAAGAATCCCACTGGGAGTGGGAATTCAATCAGAAGAGTCCAGACTGGATCAAAGATTGAATTCCGTCCAAAGAAGGAATTGAGATTGATCAGAAACTCCTGATCAATCCCTATATAAAGCACCTCTTGGAACAGAATGAAACACACAGAAAACAGTAAGCAAAGCTACTGATTTGAGAGAAAAGGAGGCGTATAGGAAGCTAAGAAAAGTTTAGGAGTGTTCTGAGAGTGAGAAAATTTTTTTAGAAATTTTTGGCGAAAATTTTTTTTGGAAATTTATGGAAAATTTCCAGATTCCGGCAAAAAATTTCGGTGAAGTTTGAATTTTTCGGCGACAATTTCGGCCAACCTTGAAGTTTCCGACGACCAACCCAGTTTTCGGCGAAGAATCCCAGAAATCGGTGATCTTCCGGCCAACTTTCGGTGAAATTTCCAAATTTCGACGACTTTTTTCCAGAATCCGACGAAAATTCCACCGGTGTTCTTTAGTTTTTAGAGAGAATGGAGAGGAAAAAGGAAGAAGAGAGAGAGAGAAGAGAAGGGTTCTGCCGAAAAACAGAGGGAAGTGCCTTTTATACCCTTTTAAAACGACGTCGTTTTGGCCTTAAGTAACCTAGAGGATCCGCGCGTTTTGCCGAACCCGACCGACTCGGGCGTCGACCCGCTCTCTGACCCGCGCGTGCCAGCCCCCTCCGAGCCGAGCCGAGCCAAGCTACCAAGCCGCTCCCCCGAGCCGTTTCCCTGCCTTGAGCCGAGCCGATCCGAGCCGCTCCAGGTTTTTTTTTTTTTTTTTGTTTTTTTTCTTTGAATGTTTTATTTCTTTGTTTATTTGTTTATTTTATTTTTTATTTATTAGATTAGGTTTATGTAATATTCTTTTTATTTATTTTTACTTTTTTTTTATTATTCTATTTTCTTTAAATAAAAATAAAAAATTCTAAAAAAATATATTTTTAGGAAAAAGTTGAAAGTATCAATTTTCCTTAAGAATAAATTTTCAAAAAAATATTTTTAGGGAAAAGTTGAAAGTATCAATTTTCCTTAAAAGGAAAATAAATTTAAAAAAAATATATTTTTAGGGAAAAGTTGAAAGTATCAATTTTCCTTAGAAATAAATTTCCAAAAAATATTTTTGGGAAAAGTTGAAAGTATCAATTTTCCTTAGAAAAAATTTCAAAAAAAATATTTTTAGGGAAAAGTTGAAAGTATCAATTTTCCTTAGAAATAAATTTCAAAAAAAATATTTTTAGGGAAAAGTTGAAAGTATCAATTTTCCTTAAAATAAATTTCCAAAAAAATATTTTTAGGGAAAAGTTGAAAGTATCAATTTTCCTTAAGAATAAATTTCCAAAAAATATTTTTAGGGAAAAGTTGAAAGTATCAATTTTCCTTAGAAATAAATTTTCAAAAAAATGGTTTTTGAGGAAAAGTTGAAAGTATCAATTTTCCTTGAAAATCGAAATTTCCAAAAAATATTTTTGGGGAAAAGTTGAAAGTATCAATTTTCCTAAAAAAAAAATCATTCTTTCCTTCCTTTCTATCTTAATTTTGATTTTTTTTTTCTTTAAATAATCCGACGACGGAGCCTCTGCAAGTGAAACAGTAGTTTTTCTTGCATACTCTTGAGGTGAGGGAATTTTCTCAATTTTCTGCTAAAAGTATTAGAGTCAATTGAGAAAATTTCCAATAATTAATTACTTGGTAAAATTTTAAGGCTTTTGGATAACACAAATTTAAGCTGGTACCATCTTTTGATGGGCGTGGTGAAGGTGCTATAACCTTCCTCACACGTAACCGAACTCCCGAATCCTGTTTTGGTTAGTAGACTTGAACCTATTCTTTTAGGAACCTTTAAACTTAGGTGTTCCCTGGAAAGGACAGATTCCATAGGTGGCCAATCGCACCTAGATAAAAAAGATTGGTGGCGACTCCCTAAAGTCAATGTCTAGCGATAGATCCCCAGATCTAGATGTTATGACAGCTTGGCGACTCCACTGGGGACTTTGAGAGTTAGGCCAGCAAATAATTTGTGTTATCCAAAAGCCTAATAAAATTGAACCTTGTTGTATATATGTGTAATTTTTTAGTCATGTTTATTTACCCTGTTAATTATGTCATTCATGTGCATATGCATAACATGAGCTCTACACCCGAGCTTCGTCCTTCTAGGAGGGAGTAAAGTACCTATTGCTTTCGTGAGGTCTAATGCCTCCGCAGTGGCTAGCGAAATACTCCCACTCAAATTGAACCTTTTTCGCTTGTAGCCTGTAATGGATGAGGATTAGGGTGCCTTACTAGTCTGTGATGGACAAAGATGTAAGGAACAATTTGAGGACCTTTAGACTTTGACCTTAAAACCGCATGTAATGAACCTTAAGAGTGCCTAAACCTAGGATAGAACCCTTTCTACCCAATGATAGATATACCTTGAAGTTAAGACACAAAAAAGGTGTTTATCTAATCATTTTGATTGTTTAACTTTGTGTATCATTTTCATTACCATATGTAACATTATGCATTAGCATCATTTTCATCTCATCCATGAAACTAACTGTATTGTTTGTCTGATTTTATGCATCTGCATTATTTTCATGACCATGTTTTAACACAATCATTTGCATTCATTTCATACTATATTTCATTCAAAAAAATGTACATTTCATTTGTGTATCAAAGCATCATACATAAGGCACAGCATAACATTTCTAATCATAAGTATGGTACTCAAGGTCCGAGGATAGCTCCATCTAGCGAAAACCCTGCTCATCCATACAACACAAGATCCAAAGTAAGGCAAATGAAAGAAGAAAGTTCTCATAGATTTGAAAAGCTAGAAAAAGCTCAGGAGAAGATTGAAAGTGAACTAAGCAAGATTCTGGAGGCCCTCAATAATATGAATAAAGGAAAAGGAGTTGAAGGAAGTACAAGCCAGCAAG